CGTGCAGCTGTGCTCGCAATGCATGCCGCTTGATCCAGCGAGACCGTGTGTCTTGCGCACAGAAAGAAGGTATTGCGTTTCAGGAAGATTTAACTGCGACGCGCCAGCTCTAAAGCCAACGACGACGCTCGAAGGCCATATTTCCATTTTCGCGAAAACGCATTCGAAAGATCGAGCGAGAAAGAGATGGGAGTTTCGTAAAGTGTCTCGTCGTTTCTGTTGGGAATGACACGTATGTCCGTAATATCGACTCTCAAGCGCGATGATAGCTTCAACTATTTCAGAATTTTTTTAACAGATTTGAGATATAACGTTTATATTGTATCATTTTTTTCTGCAGGTTTTAACATTTTTTTTTTCTTTTTCTTTATAATATTGAACAAAATTTTCTCTTGGATGAAAATCTTAAGTCTTGAAGCACTGATCACAAAGTTTTACACTTTTACGTATTTCTCGCGCATTTGATATTGATGCGCTATTCGAATTTTCTACGAGTGCTCCCCTCTCTGCTTTCCGTTACTATAATCCTTACGACCTCGCGTCGACAAAGACATTTCTGGACATTTCCAATTCTCGGAGAGGAAGGAAGTTTAAAGTCGCTTGGCAAGGGACCAATGCTCGTACTGCTATACCCTATTTCAAGATTACCAAGAAAGCAGCCAAGCAAACGATGCTTCTTCCTCATCGTCACCATCGGAGTCATACGATTCCTTTCCCGAAGTGAAAGGACAAAGAGAGAGCGTACGCAGATCGAAAGAAAGATTTAATTTATCGGAACCGAAGAGCAGACAGCGACTGAAAGTGCCTGTCTTCCTTAATAGTCATCGACGTTGCATTTATCGTAATGAGCTCATTCTTCTAGAGGGTGATGTCGCGAATAATACCGATAGGATGCTCATTTGGAAAGGAAGATTTTACTTTGTGCCTTCGCGATGTATTTGATGTTAAATGTGGCTACTTGAGTTTAATTGATTTAATATAATATAATAGAAAAATAAAAATTGTTCTGTATTACATTATTGATGTCGTATAATTATCATTATAATTATTGTTAAATAAGATCATTAATGTAGTATAATTAATTGTAATTTATACATAGACGTAGCTACATGTGATAGTTATATTAATTCCAGAATTATTTTAAATTATATTGACATATATGAAATCATATATACGAATATCAAATTCAATAATCATTACATTGCTCCGGATTATTGAGAAAAATTAATCGAGACGTATAAATCAGTACGACCTGTGATGCCATTTCCACTTGATATTGCAATATTAATGTATGATATAATAATGAAGTATAGCTTTAAGTGCATATAATGAAGTATATATGATATAATAATGAATAATAATAAGAAGTGATATTAATAAATTTTTTTTTTCATCGAAAAGGCACACATCTTATACATCTTATCTCGATTCTTATATTCACGACAGGATCAAGACAACGCTTTGCTGTCAATTAGACGAGGCGAGTTACCGTGCGGGATTCCTATCAAAAGTAATGCGCCGATATTCCCGGCAAGGAGCAGCCTTCGACCTCGATCCACTCGAGACGCCTACGTGAAGGGTTTAGATAACAGCACGCCAGAGAGTTACTCGAAACTTCGCCGCTTCCTTCTTCGGAAGCCAGGCCGCGCCGTTGCTCGTCCTTTTTCCATTCCTGCCACTCGACGATCCCTTGCCACCCTACTCTCCCTTGCTCACGTCCTCCCACCCTCACCTTTCACCCTCCATGCTCCGGACGCGCCCCGCGAACTTCCAAGCGACAGTTTGACAAAATGCAGATTTCCTTCGTTTCCCTGACAACGATCGGTTTTTCTGCTTCCCTTTCTTCTCCATCCCTTTTTCTCCTTTTTCTTTTTCCTTTTAGTCTCTTCAGCCTTTTCCCACAGCCTTTTCCCACTTCGTCGTCTTCCTTCGAACAGTGTAGTGCTCCGTCCCGCTACCAGCAATCACCTCCTTTCCCCGCTCCCTTGCTTGCACTTCCAAAGCTTTCCCTTTTCTCTCTTAGCTACTTCGTTTTTCTATGTATTTCTGTTCAACCGTAGATCTTTGGTCTGCCCGAACCAAATCCTGCAAGTAATATCCGCAGGAGTTTATCACTAGAAAAACTGAAGTGGTTAAAATGACCATTTGCGAATTTCAGTCTGTTTATTTAGTAGACGTACACATGTATACATACCATACGTAATTGTACACTCGAAAAAGAATTTGACTATTTCAATTGATTATATATAAGGTATAACATAATAACATTGCAACTGTAACAGTGCAGTCTATAATAGGCTATGTTGGCTCAATCTGACGGATGCTTTTAAAACGCAGTAGAAAAAAAAGAGAAAAGGGAGACATATTCTCTCGTCAAGTATCTCCCTTTCACGGTGGATGAATCTCAGCGGATGGCGTTCCTAAAAAGAGATAAGCGCAAGAAAGGGATTTTTTTCCGGATGGTTGATGTTGTTGGTAGGATGGCCGGCACAACTTCTCACCTCCCCATTCCTCTCTTCCCTATCCTTCTCATAAATAATAAATGGCCAAATGGAGCCTGGCCAGACAGCTGGTACATTTACTTCCGGCTCAACCACGTACGCTTTAAAGCGTTTCCCGCGTGTCGCGTTGGAAAATAGAAAAATGGGAGGCGCGTGTCTTATCTGCTGCTTTAAGTGCGTCAGTTATTTTCAATAGCGTGAAAATGAGCGTTGTCTAAAGGGAAAAATCCAGTCCATCGTAGCTTGAAAAATCGCCATGCCGCGAAATATAACTGCGTCCTTAATAACAACGAACCTGCTATTATTTTTCGTAAAACTTCCTGACGCCCGCTCCTTTTTTTCTTTTTAAGTAGGTTGGAAATATAGTTGCCAAAATACATATACTTACGTAATAATGTCATTATATAATATAATCGATAACAATGTCGTATCACGAGCATTAAAGTTGCAAGATAATGCTCGAATCTTTATGCATTATTTGCGTACGTCTCTCACAAATGGTGTGAACCGCGGCCGGCAATTTACCGAGTGCACCGAATGTACGACCATCTGCACGATTTATTCCCGTTATTCATACATTTCAACGATCATCTAAAATTTTGCAATTGTACGATTGTGGCTACATTTTGTCGACACAAGCACTTTACAGTGTGAAATGACGATAACTAAAGCATACATGGAATTGCAACCTTAGCACTTTTTATGTATATCAGAACATTTTTATCTCATTTAAAATTAATTTAGAATTTATTCTCCAACGTAAAATTGCTACTTAAAAATGTATAATTACATATTTATTTTACGTCCTGTTTTTCATAATATATGAATCTTGTTTATATTTTTTGTCAGCAGTTATACTAATATTTAATTACAAAGTAATTTAATATCTAATATTGATATGATATTCGATATTTCAAAGTATAATTAAATATCTAATTGATTCATATTTCTATAATTATCAACACATGATAATATCTATAGCATATACATAACATATCTACGTAATGATATAATACATAACGTACGTACATTAATATTGTGATATTTTGACATGCATAGCAAGTGTAGAGAACAATTTTTATCTTAAATAATAGAACATTATACAATATTTCACAACAATCTGAAAACTTAATAATATACAAACATTTCAAGATTATATTTATATATCTCACATTTCATGTTTCATAATTAATTAGTGTAAATAATAAATTGTAACATAATTAATTGTAAATAATTTGAACCACACACTCAGTTGTTTTCAAACAATTGAATATATAAAATTATTTTATAAAAAAGGAATAAATAAAGTTTATTTTATAAAAAAAGGAGAAATAAAAATTCTTAAAATATAAAGCCAAGAATTATAAGAAAATATTAAGAATTAATTCATTTTTCTGTTTTTACTGTTTTAACTTAATAAAAATAAAATTTGTTAGCTAAAATTTACGTATTTACTTTACATATTAATTTATTTAACTTATTTATTATAGAGCAACTCTCTAATTGTATGTTTGCGGTAGAGAATATAATGTAAATAATTCATTGTCAGACTATATCTACATTTTCCATTTCTGCTTAAAATCAGACGATCTTTTAATAAAATATAACGCGCACTAATTTCTTAAAATTTAATTAATTTATCAAACGATATTTGTATTTAATAATTGTTTTTACATTTTCTTCTTTGCTTTTATATCTTCTTCTTTTACTTTTCTCTCCATGCATTGCATGCTTTCTCGTTAATATTATTAATGATATTTTTCTCGAATAACGAGTAAATATACATAGTTGTTGTACAGTTGTTCGACTCGCTAGTCCATCTCGAAAAAGCCAAGGAAGTCGCTTGAGATGCATGCAAAATGTATAGCGTATATTATTGAAGTCAAGCATTACGCGGCCGCAAAGTGGCAAGATGGAAGGTACGTATCATATATAACGTTGAATAAAATACGAGTTGCTCTCTCTCTCTCTCTCTCCCCTCCCTCCCTTCTTCTACTCCTCCCCCTCTCTCTCCTCTTCCTCCCCTTTCTCTCATACACATACATATATCCACATATATGAACATGGATTCTAGAAGATAGATACCAGATTTCACGTGAACAAGGCATTCTCGATTTCCTTGTCAAATCCGATCAATATCGCAGCTACTTCCTGATTTATAGGGACAGTCTCACGGTAAAACACAATAACCAACATGTCTATGAAAAACGGGATGACATCCGTTTATTCCAACAAACAGTACTCTTGATTCACGCAGGCGATTTAGTACAAGAATATCTAATTCTTTTTCAAAAAATTTATTTCTCTCGATTTTGAAAAGCATAGAATTCTATTAATGGAATATACGCGCTCGCACACGCAAATGTGTCCATATTTCGACATATAAATATCGATTCAGAGCGATAAAGTTCTCTTATTTTACCTTCTCAAATTTCGCAGTCAGGCACGGCTGATACAAACTCTCCGAGCGGCTCGCCCATTGAAAGACTTCACGGTAATTCAATATCTGTTCAAATTCAACTCTGCGAGGCCATAATTCGTGAAAATCGGTATCTTCCTCGCCCGCGATTTTAGAGGATTGTAATCCAGTATGGGCAGCACTCGCGTATGGACGTGCATCACGCTTGATCGGTTTCTCGGCTCTTCTTTGGTTTTCAATCGCGATCGCAGAGACGAAAACATCACACTCACCAGATAATAAACTAGCTCGATAACGCTGAGTAATGAACCGCCCAGGAATAAGCTGATTATACCGCCGAAAGATACTGCAACGAATTAAGTATGCAAATCGTTCAAGTTATTAATATGATGATTGTGACAAAATATTCGATGATACTGACGGAACATGTCGATGGATAATGGAGCGAAATTGAAACGGGTTGCTCTAAGCGTGATTTACATGTTAACATTAATTTTCAGAACGTGGTTTTAATCCATAATCTAGGCGAAATTTTACACACCGATCTCGCATGCAACTGTAGCTAGATATTTTACTTTCTTATGATACGATCACGAATAATATCCAAGATAGCTACCACGTAAACATTTTGAGCAAAAGGCATGAGAATACTATGAATTCGTAACTTACTATCTCGCGGGACTCATTATATGCTAGGAAACCACTGCGGAACGGCTAATAGAGATAGGGAAATAATTAAGGTACCGCAAATTAAAGTTCTCCGCAAACCTCGAAAGTGAATTTGAATAAAATGGCATTTACGTTTTTCCATTTCCGGTTCTTTCATCTCGTTTCTATAAATTTCTCAAATCCGACTTAATCACGCTGATTAATAATGTACTATTAATTTTTCCGGAATTAAATCCTCTCTAATGTAATTGTAAATAAATATAAATTCGATAAAAACTGTTAACCAAAGAATTCATTTTACAATTTATTTATCGTTTTTTTATATTAGGCGAGAGATTTTCGGCAAGAAAGAAATACAACATACGTATACATTGTTTGAAAAATGCAGAGAACTTACCGAGAAGGTCCATTGGTGAGATAACTATGTCCGTTTTATAGCGAAAACTAGTTTGCCCTAGGTAATGTACGTCCAACATAATGTCATTCATGTTATGTAATGGCACGTTAGAAAACTGAGTATTGTAGATGTAGTAGTCGCATTCCGGCAAGCAGTTGCAAATCATGCTAGGAATGTCGTGTGGGTAGTCGTCGCCAAAGTGAACAATGTAGTCGTTGAACAAATCTTGCGTCGCCATTCAACGTTTCACCAAAGTAAATTATATTCATTTTGGTTAATTATATTTAAAATACATATTCACGAAATATATAAATGAAATTTCCAATGAGAGCTTGCTCACCATTATAAGTGATCAGACAAATGAAATCCTCGATGGTGCAGTCACGAAAACGGGTGTCTGAAACATGAATGAAACATTAATGAAGTTACGTCATTCCGCTAAATGTAAGAAATCATACTTGCGGGGAAAAAAAAAGATGGGTTGCAACTGCAATACTTGGCAACCCAGTAACGTTTGCAAAGCGACAAGCAGGTCTCCTGGTGATACACGCCGTTTTCATCGTATTGGCATGGTTGTTTATCCTTGTCCAGTTCGAGAACTCGCCGAGTAGCGTATCCAGAAATACATTGTAAAGACATGCTGACCCGCGAACCCGACGGTATCATAGTACCACTGTTGGGCCAGACATGGGGCTCGTTTATTATCACCACAACGCCATCAACCTGCTCTGTGTAACAATTTGTTATTGAGATATTAAGATTAATGATATTGATGAAGGTATTCAAGGAGATACAATTTTTAACCTTTTACATAAAAATTATTTTTTTTTTTATAAATCTGGACTGGGTAGATCCGGTAAAAGCAGCTTAGAATCGGTACCACGGTACAAGGACCGTGAAGTTCTTTGAAGGCGACATTTCAATAACTGCCTCGTGCAATACGGCGCCGATATATCGATTTTGCAGTTTACGATAAATCCCTTTCCATTTCGCATGGGTAATAAAGGAGCGACATTATGGCAGAATGGAAGTCGCGTCCTATTCAAAATGTATCCTAGTGGTCGACGGCTTTCGCGAGGATATTAAAATCATATTTGCGAGACTCTGCGACGCGTTTGCATAACGATGGATTAGTAACGATATGTCGTGGTGTATACTTCGTCATTTAACGGATCTCGACAGAAATAATATTAGTTATTAATCCGTCAGTTTAGCCGAGTTTACATCCAGTTTGCCATTATATGATTCCTCTCTCTCCCTGGCTCTAGTTTGGATTTATGCTAAATGTTTATTCAGATAATGCATTTATGTCCCTTTGTCCAAATAATGCAATAACAAACAATACATGATAATCTAAATTGAAATTATGCATACAATTTGCATAAAAATGTTAAAACAGGGGTACAATAAAGGGTTACGAATAAACATAAAAAAATTACCCAAAAAATTAATGGATTCTATTCCTCATCTAGTCTATCCTTCAAAAATATAAAATTTTCAAGAGAGAATGTAATTTTGTTAACAATTACCATAATAAAATTATCCAAAAAGCATTTTAAAGCTCAAAGTCTTTACTTTTCAGATCAGTAGTTTAGATAACGATTTGACTAATTTTTTTAGAGTTATACGGATACAAATGGAGATCAGTCGAATCTAAAAATTTTTTATAAGCTTTGCAAAGTTCCATGACGTAAATTAAAAATCACACACAAAAGTAATTTAATAGCTTTCAAAAAAATAAATCTTTAATTTGCATATTGTTGAGTATTATATTATACGTCATATTTTTTTCATCGAATTATTCAACATTAAATTAACATTGAAATAAAAAGTTTTTTTTTAATTTTTATCATTCACTGCAGAAAACGAATGAAGTAATGCTTAAAGTATTCTTTAAAATACGAATAAAAAAAGGTCTAAATTTTCTCTTTAAAATCCACCTATCATTTTTTCAATATAAAAAACTGATTGTATGTAAATTTTGCTTAAATAAAGCGCTGAAAATTAAATAATTAACATGATTATCATTTAATCATCTCGACAAGAAACATTAAGAATACAATGATCTTAACGTAATTAATATCCTACGTGTGCAGAATAATGACTTTAGGCAAAACAATGTTCGCTTGATTCTATCGCAGCAGACCCGTCGCGCATTGTGTGGGTTGTGCTGGTTGCACGGTCAGACAATCTACTTGGTTTATCCAATCTGACTATTCATCGCTATTTCTATGTCAGTCTGAATTTGGTATAGTTTAAAATAAAACAATAAGTTTCAACGTATTATTTTATGTTGAATTGAAAAATTGTTGAAAATCACTCGTTACATGTTGCAGACGACTTATCGGAGATTAAAGACGCATGAACCAATGATAATGTGTTCACATTCTTCACTTCTTCGAACGTTTGTATTTGTATAATATTACCTCTTAATCGAAAACAATTTTCAAATTTGATTTTCTTTCTTTAAATAGAACTCTGTACAAAACAATTTTATACTATATTTTCGACTTATTTTTACATGAGAACCCATCTCCTTGTCACCTGTACCACGATTTCCGAAACACCTTGTCTACATGTACAATATAAAATGAAAATATAGATATACATATTTATATATATTCGTTTTATATTATTGTATAGACGCGATATTGTATTGGAAGCATTTCTATACTTTCAGACAAGTCTAGCGAAGCAAATTTGCTGAGAAGCTGTTGAATTTGCACCGATCATGCTTTGGATCTTTCAAATACGAAGTGAAGGCAATAACCAGTAGCGTGAATCTAGAAGGTGAATCAGGTCATTGCAATTTCAAATTTTCAAAACCATTTATTCAAGATGATATTTTTTTGTAAAACGAATATCAGCGAAGCATCTTCCTGTTTCATCTCTAGGTAGCACTGGTTTTTCGTATAAATCACATAGGTCATTACATCTTATCACATAAAATATTACATACTGGCATTACTATCACTAGAATTTGTGTGTGATGGCTTCGTTATGCTTCCTAGATGAATCGTAACCTTGACACCGGTCCAATCGCCGTAGCCAGATGCTTTACGTGGCCGCGATTCCGTAGGATCCGTTGGAGGTGTTTGTGCTACTTCAGAATTGAACGAATAACAGAAACCATACTCGGTCTTCTGCACCTGGAAGATATCGCAGCAATTGCGATCGGCGTTACGCCACCAGCAAGAGGACAGTAATTGATCGCAGCGTGGCATCGCCTCATATAGCACTTGAGTTATGTTGATACCTATTCAATAATGATTACTTTTCAACTTCAATAAGAGAAGCGCAAACGCATTCATACATATAATATATAAAATATGCACACATTTAAAACGCTCAAGATAATTTAAACAATGTTATCAAAATTTATATATTAATTACCGTTTCACAAGACATCAGTGTCTTGTCTCTAACTAAAGTATTGAAGATAAAATTAGAAAAATTAATCACGCTATAATTCGATCACGTTTGCATAAAAAAGTTTAGAAAAAAATTAATATTCTACCCGCGAGACTATGGACATTTTGATTCTTCAGAAAATCCAGTTCATCAAAATCTCCGAAGCTCATCATGGAAAGCTTGCCCAATATTTTCCGAAAAGTTTCGAGACTTGCTTTATCTGTACCATTAGGAAAAATTTTTGGTTCGAGTTCGAGGGCTCGATTCCAGTCGACGCGGTCATACGGACAAAGGGTCACGCTCGGAAAGGGTAGATACGAAGTTCCATAATGCATCGATTCAATGTCAATCACCGTCGGCGCATCCTAAATAAATGTATATAATGCACTCTAAATTTTTTGCAGTGAAATCTCACTCCAAGGGAGAGAAAATATAACACCGCACTTGGAAAAAGTGAAAATATCTCATTTCTTGAAAAAAAGTGACGATCTTCACTCTTTTTAAAAATCTCACTTCAAAAAAATCTCACTTCATATCAACATAATTCAAGTGCTATATGAGATAATATTATGTTGCGATCAATTGCGAAAAAAAGTAAAAATATTTCACTTCTTAAAAAAGAGTAACAATTTTCACTCTTTTTCAAGAAGTGAAAATTCATTCTAAAAAGAGTGAATATTGTCATTCTTTTTCAAGAAGTGAAATATTTTCACTTTTTTTTAAAGATGGTTATATTTTCACTTTCTTGGAGTGAGATTTCATCGTAAGAAATTTAAAATATACATTCGATACTTTAAAGAGTTTAAAGTAAAACTTTGTTAAAAATTATCTTTATACTATTGGACATCTTTAGAAATCAAAAATCTTTAGAAATCAAAAATAATATTCCGAATAATATGTACATATATATTTGAGAGATTATATATATTGTATACGATTGAAATTTTAGTCTTTTCTTTCATACATATAATTTACCTGGAATCTAAGAGCAAGTGAGTAAATCACGTTGCTAGCGATTGTGGAAGATATTATAAACACGACAAGCCACAGGAATCGTTCAATTATATGTAATTCAGGATTAACGATGTGACGAAGACCATGAATAGTCGTATTTGTGCAAAAATAATTTAATGTTTCTATGATCGTGTTGAACTGTTTGCCTTGACTTTTGTTTCCACGAAACTTGATTCTTGTGACTCCATTTCTTACGACTCTCATTAATTTCCTTAATTTCCTCCGACCAGATTTCATGTCTAACAAAATGAAAATTAGAAGATTTTAAAATTCAAAAATTCAATACATCGAGAAATTTGTAAGAATGTGCGATCTCCAGATCAATTCGTTAAAAATCAACTTTTTGCAAAAAGATCGTTCCGAAATATAACTCTTTTTATATAAAAAAACAATTCTACAAAGAGATCAGTTTAAAATATCCCCTTTTAATTAGAAAAATCAATTTTTCGCAAAATGGATCGTTTCAAAACCGCTATTGTTGTTTGGGAAGATTTTTTTTGGAAATCTTTTGAAGATCAGAACATCCTTAGGAATTTGAGGAATCTTAGAGAAAGTTGAATCAGTAAATTAAGAGGATAAAAATAAAAGAAATTTCTTCGCTCACTTTCATTTGAATTCTAGCACTTAACATCGGTAAGATAAATACATCCTTATGGTCACTCCTCGCGATCAAAAGCGAACTGAAGCATCAAACACCTTTTTAAAGTGTCCTTGAATGAAAGACGAAAAGAGGTCAAGCATGCCTTAGTCCTCATTTTTTATCGGTATCAGCAATGGATCGTACAAATAAAACTCAATCAATTACAAGTGAGGTAAGCGAAAAGGGAGAAATGACAGGTGGGAAAGGGTCGAAGAGGTGGCGCGTGTTTGAACGCGCACCCGATGTGATCAGGATAATTCGGTTAGCGTGATTGTTGCGCAAACAATGCCAACACGAACAGAGAGGGCCGCTTCCCCGGCTTCAATGTCCGCGAATAATGAAGAAGCCTCCGGGGGTCGCGATCGCAGGTTTTGATTGCATCCTCTAGTATAATTTGAACGAGAGAAATCAGGATTCGTTGATTCGTTCGGGCGACATCACGTCGCTGAAAGTTATCGACGTTTCGGCATTCAACGTCGGTCTTTCCAGTTTGGCGAAATTCTCTGAGAATCCGATTTCAGAGGCATGCGATATTCGAGATGACTCACATCAACTCTGATAATTTTTTTTAATTCTCTATAAGTAAAATGACTTTCTCTCAAACAAATAGTATTTTATCGGATTAGATTATTGAATTATACATACATATTAGAAAAACTCTGTCATTTATTAATTATTTTCATTATTTTAATTATTTTCACTTATACAATATATAACTTTTTTATTACATATATATTTTTTTAATTTCATATCCTTTATACATTTAGTTTAATATCATAGCTATAATAGATTCAATAATAGATTCTTTTATGTATCCTCCGAAAACAATAATGAGTTTCTTGAACTCATTTACGTTGCTTGAACAGTTACGAGAACTTGAACAAATTTACGTTGCTCAAGACGCCATTTTAAAACAATATTCCAGGATTAAATGAGTATAAGTGAATACGTGATGGCAATTTCTCATTGGAACCCGATGATGCAATCGATGCCATACTGTTGGCGCTTCGTTCTAGCTGTGCTTCATTATCCTGGGGATGAAACCGACGTTCTATTAACTACGCGGCTGCAATCGCTCTAATATTAGTTTCGCTTAAACATCACAGGTTTTCATTCCGTGCGCACATCGTATACACATGCCCCCATGCTAGCTTGCAAGCGAATCGATTATATCGCTATAATGAGAGATAATTTGTATCTTAATGATCTTTATGCAAAATATTATGTTAACAATTAAAATAAAATTATAAAAGATAAAGAATAAAAAATTGAGAAATCTGAAAGATTATAAAATAAATCGTGATTCATTTTATCAACTTGACTCTTATTGATTACTATGTTTTTTAAATAAAATTTTAAATAAATCGCTTCATTTAAATATTTTTTATTGCATAAATTTTATATTGTAATCTCTACATATATGAAATTTTTTAGCCTTATTCTTTGTGCACTATACATAATTAGAAATATACAGTGTCCAAGAAATTCCGGGAAGACCAAATAACTTCTCAGAAAAATGTTATTGAAAAAAACGTTAAAGACAAAGTTGTAGGGTTCAAAAAAAGATCTATTTACTGATCTTATCAAGTTGACCTTGGGTGACGTCGCCAAGGTCAGATCAAGGTCTTTTTTTTTAATGGAACACTATTTTTTTATGCGAGAATCTAATAGCTGGAGTCAAGAGTTTTTCAAAACACTGTAATAAATGAAGTAATATCTCTTATTTTCATTTTTGCACTAAAAATTCATTTTTACGTCAGACACCTTGCGTAATGCTAATGCCGGCAGTATTGTAACTTTTAAGTTTTATAACTCGAAAAGTACTTAATAATCACTTTATTATAGATTTTGGAATCAAAAGTAGGATGTTCCATTTACAAAAATCGACCTGACCTTGGCAACGCCATCCAAGGTCAAACTGATAAGATCAGTAAAAATCTTTTTGAATCCTATAACTTTTGTTTTTCTCGATACCGCTTTCCTGAGGAGTTATTTGGTCGCCCCGGAACTTTTTGGACACTGTATATGGATGTATTTATATATCTATGAGTAATACATTTATATGAACACATATGAAAGCACATCTGTCTTTTGAAATCTTTCATTTGAAATTCACCGACCTGTAGCACGCATGTTCACGTAAATTGTGCAACGATGGAGTTGAAAATTCACGGCGACAACTCGCGCAAAAACTCCAACAACATCCACAATTCTCCCTATTCATCGTCTTTCAATTTTTTCTGCTTTTTTATTCTCTCTTCATTCTTTTTATTTACCGTTCTGATATAATTGGCTTTCCATTAATTTATTCAATGTTAAGTATCTTAGTTTTAACAATAATTCAATAAAAATTTCTATTAAAAACAACATAGGTATATCTACAATATTATCTTTGTCAGTTTTATATTTATTTTGTTTAGCTATAGGTACTGTTTTAACGATGTTTCATCGTAATAAATAGTTCACTCTTCGTCTCTCATTTGGTTTTATCTCTGAAATGATTATTTTGGTTAGAGTTATAAATTTCTCTTCTTTCTTTAAATTATTTTCATTTCTCTGTCCAAGTTTTTCCTTATCGCTTACGGGTAAAAGTTACTATATTAACTCCGATTGTATAAATATGTTATAATACTGCTGCATTAGTTTCAATGTCGAACCAACATGAACGTTTACTTTACAAACAAACAAGTCGCTTTAATATTCCGCGGTTATATTTGCGATTTTTTAAATAAAATTTCTTAAACTTTCTTTATTTTTCCGTACATACATATATGTATACTCGCGTTTATAATTAAGGCAAACGTTTTCTAAAATAATCTTTTCCCTAAACAATATATTTAAAATTCAGTAACAAATATTTTACCTTAATAACTTTCATAATTATATATTATATTTTCTTAATGACTTATTCGTTAATATCAAATTATTACACAAATTATATACTTTCTTAATAATTATTCGTTAATATCAAATTATCTAGTGTGTTTCTCGTTAAGTATTAAACGACTTAGATACCTCATCTTCTACTCAAATAAATTATAAATGTCGGCAAAATTCACTTGTGTTTACGGTGTTATCCATCAAGACGCAAACCGGCATGCTGCCTCAGAATTTCAAGAGACCATATTGTGTATTCAAAACTGTTTTATACAGAATGTCCAAAAAACATCATTTTTTCTTCTACCAATTTTTAAGTAAAAATACAAATTTTATCTTTTATCAAGATGACATTAATTTATATATTTTATCGTAGATACATAAATTTCGAACTAGACGTCGAATTACTGAATGAAAACAGTAGCGATAATTTAAAAACGTTCAAGTATTTCTTGCGTACGTCAGCAAGAGAGTTATGTATATTTGCATATTATTGTATATTTCAATACGTGGCAATAGGTCAATGATTATATTTAAATAGTAATTTATCATCCGCTTGTCGCAATTTATTATGTCGGTATCGGATAAGGATAACATATAATACATAAATTATCCGTAATCATTTTCATTAATGTACTCTATTTATTCTACTCTCATTTATTCTATCGAATATGTAATTTTAACAAACTTGTACACTCTATATACATATACATACATTATGATATATTCAATACTTCATAAACCCCCCCCCCCCCTCTCTCTCTCTCTCTATTAATCTTAATCTCTATACAATATAACCTTTTTATATAATAATTAAATAAATCAATTTCATAATACTTTAAATGTTATGTATTATAAAAAACATTTTTATTTACTCGAAGATTTATTATTATTTAAGGAATTTTTAAGAGGAGGGGGAGAGTATTAATATTTTCACACAGTACAAAAAAATATATTTTGAGTAATAAATAGTTAAATAGAAAACAAGAATTAAATAAAAAAATATTAGACAATATTAAGAGAAACAAACATAATTGTAAAAAAATATTCCTTTATTATAAATAATGTATGTAATGTATTTTTTGTTAAATCTTTTAATTTATATTTTCAATATTTGGAGAAATTTGTAGACATTGTAATTCATACAGAAATATCGCTTGCATGATTTGCGACTTGTGAACCGCACGCAAAAACACACTGTTGGTTTCCGTGAGTACTTTCATAAATACAGAGTCATAATTAACGTAGTACAGTAAGTATGTAAATATGTTAATGAGGTGTCAGCTTACGCGGAGAAAGAAAAAAATTTGATTCTAGAAGGAGAGGATAGGTTGAAAAGGAAAAAGAGGGGAAAAATTATGCGCATCTTGTTTAAGAATTAATTGATAATTATACGCATTTATTACCATGCATTCCAAGTTAGACACAAGCAACTTATATGTTTAAGAAGAATTTTAAATAAATATTTGTTTTCACAGAGAGATAATAAATAAAAAATATATACTAAAATGTAGCATTATTAATTATTATTGCGTGAATATGCATTAACTTAATATCTGTCATTATAAGCTTCGTTTTCAGTATTTTTCGGCTACATTCGGGAAAATTAACGCTCTCTATTATTTAACGGTCGATAAATTCTGCTCACTTACAGCAGGGATAGCTTTCAATCTGCGTTACTTCGTCTTTACGTAGCTTACAGAGATCCAGGAACTTCGGCGT